ATTGTATATAACTTATAACAATATTTTCATGTTGTATAATAGAAACACATCTGTAAATGATTACACGCATGATTGACATGTGTCATTACATCATCATATGTAATGTACTTTGTACAAACTGAGAATAAATAAATAAATTCTGTAATGGATTAAAAGTTGAGCTGAAGCAAGAGATAGAAATCAAAAAACGTCTAAAATCGAGATAGATTTAGAATTACCACAACAACATCTAAAGATAGATTGGAAACTGTCAGGACGGCGCCAGTTTAGAATTTCACTAGATGATCCACGCCCCTGTCGCATAAGGCCCCCGTCTTAACCTATAAATACAGTCCTAGCCAAAAATACAGTCACTTGACAGTCACTTCACCATCTGCGTGAGCCCTCGTCGGTCGTACCCCAGGTCCACCTCATCGACCATGTAGCCCAGTAAGAACTCTTCCATCTCCATCTTTCGCTCCTAGCTCAACTTTTATCTGTTCACGAAACTTTCTTAGTGCAACTGTGTCTTCGTTTTTTGTGTATGGACATTCCCAAGCTTTCCACTCTGCCTCGACCACGACTGCCTGTACTTTGTGAGAACTGTAAAAGGTCTTCCAAGGTGCAGAGAGGTACTGGAAAACTCCCCATCCTGACTGTTCCTCTCGGTCAACAAAGTATAGCGAGAGTTGACAGGGACTCACACCATAGTTTAAGTCGAATGGATACCTCATCACATATTTAGTCGACAGGATTCTACAAGAGGCTACTTCACCTCATTACATATATATATATATTTCTTTTCGGACAGAAAGTGTATACATGAAAAAGTTAAATGAATATGTATAGGAATATGGGTAGAGACTAAAATGAGTAGCATTTTAAAATTGTATAAAGTTCAGAATGAGTAAGAATTCAAATTGTTTAAAGAGAGAAGGGATTTGCGCGCGTAGAAGAGATAGAGAAGAGGTTATAAATAATAAAAATAAAGAAATAGTGAGCATAGTATAAATTCTGAAAGAATTGGTAGAAATGCTAACTTTTAAAACGGATAAATTTATTATTTAGAGCTTTTTGTAATCAAAATATATGACTGCATATGTCGTACACGGGGGAATTCTCAAAAAGTGTTATCCACATTTATATAACTCGAAGGGTAAAAGAAGGAATCGCCAGAAATCATTTCGATAAAGGAATCAAAGCGGAGACAAGTTTCCTTATTCAGCTCAAATGAAAGAGAGAGAGGTTTTCAAAATATTTATCCTTATATATATAAAAATGAAATGCGAAATCGATGTTTGTTATCGCATCACGCAAAATCTACTGACTCAATCATTATGGAATTTCGCATGTAGGTAGCTGAAGATTTCGTTTAACATATAGGCTATTCAAAAAACTAAAAAAGTTAATGTGCTTTTTCTTTTAAATAAAAAACCAAAAAGCGTTAGTTCCAGTCTTTTAGCGCTAGGGCGCAGCACTGGTCGCGACGATAAATGAATTTGATTTTTTTAAAGAGCATCAGTGGTTCAGTGGTAGAATGCTCGCCTGCCACGCGGGCGGCCAGGGTTCGATTCCCGGCCGATGCATTTTTTTTTAAACAATTTTTAAAACTCATTTATATTATATCTTCTATATAAATGGAAATTTCATAAGTGGTGTTCGCTAAAAACTTTCGTTACAAGGCATCAATTTCGACCAAATTTTCAACATTTATTATTAAAATACATAACTTTGCTGTTATCGATAAAATACAAAAAAAATTCAACAGAGTTAATTTTATTTATATATAAATACAAAAAAAAAATCAGCAATTCATTCAACTCAATCTAAAAAAATATTCAAAACAAGCAATTTTAAGATAACACCATATGTAAAACAGTCGGCCAAGAAAACAACAACGATATTACATCTTTCTCACATATTCACACACAATCTTGATTAATAATTAAAACTAATCTTTAGCATTGTTTATTATACTTCATAATATATAATATTCGTTAGGCAAACTTTCACTCGGATAAAACCCGGGCGAAGCCGGGTACACATCCGCTAGTATTCTATATATATAACTATACATAAAATGGTATAAATTCTTATACTATATCATTTTATATATAAATGTTCGTGCGTGGGCATGTTTTCTCCTTATACCTTTTTCCCAAATTTTGACGATTTCGAGTGAAAAGGACTATGTCTTGAAGGAGCTTCGACTTTGGAATATAATCATTAAATCCAATATTTGCATATTTCAGGGTCAGTAACGTGTGTATTATAATAGAATAATTGTAAAACCCCGTTAAAATCAACAGATGATAAAGCGAGCCTTTCCTTATAAAAAAACTATAATAATCACTAGTTTTTTTATTTTATAATATAGAGTGAACCATGGTTATAGTGAAACCATGGCATTAATTACCTGAATGTTCAGTTCAATTGAGTTCGTTATAGCGATAGGTTTTACTGTATTAATTATGGCATACAATAATAATGGAGGTACAAGTAGTTGTATTTTAAATAAATTATTCAATTAGTTATTTGATGTATTATATTTTCAATCATGTTTTATCTTATCAAAGGCAAACTGATCTTGAAGGTTGTCAATTAATATATATATAATTACTCGCTAAATATATAACAAATATACCAAAGGGAAATTGTATTGTTGTGTACATGTATTAAGAAATATATAAATAGCTGGCATTGAAGAAATATATGAATTCATGGCTCTCGATTTTTATTTACTTCTGTCTTAGCGTTTTCTATCTTTTTTTTTTATTCAACTATTTTGGATCTTCTTTGCCTTCTTGTTAGATTAAAATCTACTTATATAATTGCCTTATTCTGAAGCTCACGGATAGAATGCGCGCCCATTGGCTGCCGGCGAACACGTGTCCTCCCTGCCCCCCTCTAGACAACCCTGTTATCAGCTGTGTGATACATACACCTGTCTAAAGCGGCCATTCCAGACAACCCTGTTATCAGCAGTGTGATACATCCACCTGTCTATACAGACCACCCTGTCTATAGCGACCACTGACCACCCTGCCTATAGCGACCACTCTAGACAACCCTGTTATCATCTGTGTGATACATCCACCTGTCTATACAGACCACCCTGTATATAGCGGCCATTCCAGATAACCCTGTTGTCAGCTGTGTGATACATACACCTGTCTATAGTGTTCACTCTAGACAACCCTGTTATCAGCTGTGTGATACATCCACCTGTCTATACAGACCACCCTGTCTATAGCGGTCACCTTAGGCAACCCTGTTATCAGCTGTGTGTTACATTCACCTGCCTATAGCGGCCACTCTAGACAACCCTGCTATCAGCTGTGTGATACATCCACCTGTCTATACAGACCACCCTGTCTATAGCGGCCACTCTAGACAACCCTGTTATCAGCTGTGTGATACATCCACCTGTCTATACAGACCACCCTGTATATAGCGGCCATTCCAGATAACCCTGTTATCAGCTGTGTGATACATACACCTGTCTATAGCGGCCACTCTAGACAACCCTGTTATCAGCTGTTCGATTCCAAACCGATGGTTTGGTGCCGCTCAAAATAGCAACCTAGCTTATGATATTGTAACGAAGTATTTATTAATTTTATTAGCAGAGTATCATTTTTATTCTTATATTTTAATACTCTGTAAACTTACCTCATTCCTTATCTTTTGTTTATTTTTCATAGTTTGTTCTTGCCTTAAATAAATTGATGTCTCATCCTGAAGTTTGTCTTCCCTAATTTTCCACGTGGCAATATTTATAACAATGAATAACATATGTGAAGGTTATTAACATATTAAAACAAAATGGTCAATGCGGGATTCGATCCCGGTTCATGGCTGTCGGGAATCGAGGGTTCAACCACTCGTTCACCGACTTTTTTTTTTTTATGGACATGAGCTTATAATTCTGTAAAGGTGCATACATATAATTTCAAGGAATTGCATCGAGCAAAGCTCTTCCGCAAATATGGTTTCATATAAAACTATTCAAAATTATTTTAAAGGCGTAAGATTCTTTTTGAAAATAAACAATTTCTACTGCCCTTACTGCAATGGGAAAATTAATGGGAGGGCCTGGCTCATCAGTGGTGAACCCTCCCAGCGGTTTCGCCAGTTTAATCTACCATTTTCAAAAAGAATCTTACGCCTTTAAAATAATTTTGATTTTTGATAAAGATGGCGCGCTAGTGCATCATATAAAATTATATTAGAAAATCACATTAATGAAATTATTTTGCCATCTATATCGATAAAATGCCCAACAATTAATTTCAGGAAATTTGCTTCTTTTTATCTATAAAACGCCGAAACCGTTGAGAGGATTCTCCACTGATGTTCCGAACCCTCTTATTCAATAACTTCCATCATTGCAGTAAGATCTGTAGAGATAAAAAAAAATAAAATAACGCCTAAAATCAATTGTTGCATATTTTATCACGATAAATGGCGATTAAATTTATTTTGAAAAAATCTTATTAAAAAACGAGGTGTAAAATTTAACTTTAATTGTATAATATACTTTGTGTTAATTGTATAGAAACGAGACGTAAATATGATTTAAATATAACGGAATATGGAAATACGAACTCAATTCAGATTTCAGTATTATTTTATCATACTAGATAGGAGTACAGTTCAAATCTTTAACAGAGAAACTATACAGATATAAACTATATTGAACAATGAATTTCATTTAATAAAATATAGTGTGACTTTAATATAGGGAATTTTATTAGTAAATTTTGAAAATAATTAATCACACGACTCTCTCCGTAAAATGTTTCTTTAAAATTTATTAGTATTTGGAAGATTTCAAGTCAAAACCTCTTCAACGGGGGCTTGAGAATATAAATAAATTGTAAAACGAAAATTGAAATTATACCGCGAATGTTTCTTTTATAAAAATCGAAATTTATTTTCAAAGAGAAATAGCGACATTTCTAACTTTGAGGATGAGGTATGGAAAGGTGAAACATGAAGAGTAATGGCGAACGGAAAAATAAAAAGTGTCCAGGGGCGGGAATCGAACCCACACCCTTCTGCTTACCGGGCAGGTGCCTTGTCCCCTGGACACTTTTTATTTTTCCGTTCGCCATTACTCTTTATGTTTCACCTTTCCATACCTCATCCTCAAAGTTAGAAATGTCGCTATTTCTCTTTGAAAATAAATTTCGATTTTTATAAAAGAAACATTCGCGGTATAATTTCAATTTTCGTTTTACAATCATCAGCCGCGTTATATTGTATTATAAATAAATTGTGAAGAAATCTTTTGATAATTTCCCAGGCACGCGCGATTGAATATATTAATATATATTATCTTTTGAATTTTTTCATTTCACAAAATTACACTGGTGTCAAAATATGAATTACCAAATACAAAATTTTAATTTTCCCCTCTTTAGAGAGATGTATATAAGATTTTTTAGAATTGAATTATTTTCAATATAAACAAAATACTCATTAGTTTAAATTAGACAAAACTGCACAGACACTAACTATTTTATAAACTCATCTAATTTTTGCTCTTTTATAAACATATTTTTATATATTGTCGCGATGAAAAATAATTAACTAGGCCTTCGAATTACTTTAAATATTTATTTAATGAGTTATATGCGAGATTTTAAATATAAAATAAGATTTAATATTTACATGAGCCAAATCGACCCAGCCGTTAGAGCCAGAGGGGAGAACTGAGATCTTTCCTCTTTTCCCGTGGCGCCACTGTTTACCCCCACCGGTCGGTCCAGATAAGAGGGAATACCAGGAAACTGTCCTCCTGACAATATAATCTGATTAGGTTTAACAGGATGAATATTTTATACTGAAGACCATATAAAAACTATGAAAACAGAAAATCTCGCATGTGTATTGTGCTGGGATAATTTTGAGTCAGAACTAACTCACTATATACAAGTGTATTTACCTGCAATCATCTGTATGAAGAAATAAAATTACCTTTTTATGATACGAGCGCTAATCACTCTATGTCCTGCTGTCAGAAACGGTGAAAAGTAGACACAATTGATTTATACAAATTTTGTGAGAAGGCGAGAAGGATGAGAAACATTTGTAAATAGTTTTATTTTATTTTTGGGCTCATGTTGATACCGAATTGTATATAGTACTTGATTTATGTTCAATTAAAACCATTGTTATACTGGGAGAATCCTGTATGGGGCTTGATCCCTAATATGTGTATGTGTGTAGATAAATATAATATTTTCGAAACATGCAAAAATATTAATTAATCAAATTATTTATTCTCTCTATTAGTGTCTGTAATGTTCCTAACGGTAATATGACTGAACTAAAAGATCTTAATTTACATTTATTAGATTTACCAAATGATATTTTATTGTTTTTTGAAATATACTATACGTGGAACTATATTTTTAGGTATGTATGTTATATTAAAATATTATTTTATTTAAAATTATATTTCATAGTTTCAAATACTCTGCTAAATCGACCGCCAGAGGTCACGCTTCCCCTATAAAAACTCGTTGTTGTTGTTTCCCGATGGCCGGCTCAAACCTTTTGTACATTATGTAAATAAGTTTTTGTTTTCCTTGTTCTACTCGCCTTAAGCCAGGCTGCATTAACATAGCATAATCCTCGAAATTATCAAAAGTCAACGGAAAATCTTTTTTTTATATAAGATGTATATGGGGAATTTCTTAATGATCCACTTGGTATTTTTGTTGAAGAATAATAACATATACCTATTTTTGCATTTTATTTTCACATAAAAACAGATTCCATATCTATTTTATTGTGAAAATATGAATATTCACATACTGTATGATAAAAATGATGTTTATATATCTTTTGGTTTCTTAGTTTTGTGTGCCGTGCTAGTTTAGATACAGAACAGCCTTAAATATATTGTCCCAAAACACTTTATATTGATTCAGAACAGCCTTAAATATTGAGAACAGATCTGAATTTTGGTTCATAATGGTAAATATTGATTCAGAACAGAATTAACCAGTCTAATGTATTAGTGTGCGCAATGATTCGCTTTACAAAAGGATTAGATTATATATATGTGATAAGATCCTGTCGACTCTTCTGTGATAAGATCCTGTCGACTTTCAATGTGGCAATAATATAATAATGTAGGGAAAGAGAAATAATCACACCACGAGTTGGAAGAGAAGGAATCCAGGCAACCAGAGAGAGATAGACGGGAGAGGCCTTCGACCGGCCACAGCCGGCCGGCCGTTCGTATCGCACACAATCACCAACTGTCTCCAAAGTCCCGAGGTGTTAAGTGACGGACCCCAGGAGCCCCTTGGAATGTCGCTGATGTCTAAAGTGACACCCTTTAGCTGCCCATCTCACTCTGGGTTGACTGTAGGTTTGTTTTATTATTCCAGGAAGAGTATATATTATGACATATATATCTATATTAATAAAATGGAAATTTCATAAGTGGACATCACTAAAAACTTTCGTTACAATGCATCAATTTCAACCAAATTTTCAACATTTATGTAAAACGAGATGGAGCAGGTTTTGCGTAACATCAAAATATATTTCCTAACATTAACATGCGTAACTTCGCTGTTATCGATTAAATACAAAAAAAAATCAACAGAGTTAATTTTATTTATATATAAATACAAAATTAAATTTCAACAGAGTTAATTTTTTTACATACTAGCTAATAATCTCAATCTAAAAAATATTCAAAACAAGCAATTTTAAGATAACACCATATGTAAAACAGTCGGCCAAAAAAACAACAACGATATTACATCTTTCTCACATATTCACACACAATCTTGATTAATAATTAAAACTAATCTTTAACATTGTTTATTATACTTCAACTTTTATTTCTATATTTTTTTTTAAATACCCAATTGTTTTATCAAGTTTCTAATTTCGCCTAACAAATATACAAATTTATAGTGACCAACATATGCAAATTTTATCTTTGTTTTTATTTAACTTGATATCGTAAACATAACATCCATTGTAAGCATTTTTCTGTTCACCTTCCGTGGTTTCTCTTTTCTCTGATAGTTTTTAGGCGTAGTATATTTTCTTATTACTAGACTACAAACATTCACTCGAGAAAAACCTGGGCGAAGCCGGGTACATCCGTTAGTATATATTTACAAAACTATATCAAATTATTTGAGCTGACACACAATGAATAAAGGTGAATAAGATGTTTTCACTATTTAAAGGTAATGATATTAGCAGCCGCCTTAGTTGATGATCTAAGCTGTTACCCTAGTTCGTGATACCTCATTCTAAAACAGTCAACGTGTTCTATCATAGTTTCCCTCGCTCTTTGATATTTTTTATTAGCTTGAAAATGGGGATTGTCAATAAGGACTTATCGGCGAACTCTTACTTTATGAATTTCAATTGTTCATTAATGCTGCTGAAGCAAAAAGAAACTCTTAATCATGCGCAAGGGTAGATTATTTCGATATACATCATTATATAAATAGATGATTAAAATAATTTTACCTGGGTAATAGGATTTTTTTTAAACCAAGGGCCAATAAGCCGCGAACCATAGATAACGAACTCCTTTTCCAAGCTGTGGAGGCTGATCCGCCACAAGCACTAGGAGAATATCAGACGAGCTGGGGACATCTCAAACCACCGTGATTAGTCACCATAACAAACTAAGCAAGGCCAACAGGTGCTGCCGCTTTGTACCTCACATATTGACTCCAGGCAAACCTCCGAGTGGAAGTGTGAAATAAGCTGCTGGCTAATCCAAAAGATGTACATTTCATTAAGAGAATTATTACTTGCAATGATAAATGATTATATTGTCGTAATCCTAACATATCCAAAAGCAGTGGTTGAGCCCGGTTTAACCTCTTGAGCCTGCTCTCAAACATGGACGCTTTGAACATAATTCGATTCTGTGAGGTCGACAAAATTTTCTCAAGAGATAATCTGCTATAGTTTTATTAAAAGAGGTTGAAATATGAACTCCAATCTGTATTTTGAACAGATAAGGCAGAATTATTCGGCTTTGGTGAACAGAAAACTCTTCCTTCTACAAAAGGATAACGTCAAACCTCATACTACTCGAAGGACTCATACTACTCAAACCTCATACTACTCGAAGGACCAAGAAAAATTCTATTACCTTGAAGTATTCTAACTATGTTTCCATACCCAGCATATAGTCTAGACCTTGCATCGTCGGTTTATTACTTGTTTCAGTCGATGTCCCACTTCCTTCATGGAGAAAACTTCAATGGTGAGAATGATGTGGAAGCTAGAGTCAAGAAGATTTTCGCTTTGAAAGGCCAGAATCTCTGCAAAAACGAATAATTGGCAGAAAATGGTTTAAAACGGTGCAACACAATGATGGTCTATATTTTAAATGCTAGGTATATTCAAATACGAAGTTATGTATTATATGATATAAAACGTGATCACAATATTACAAAACTCTCACTTCCTTAGTACAAATATGATTTTGAAATCATTAATTAATATGGCAATCACACACACAGTGAATAATTTTGAGCGCATATTACAATTTAAAAAAAAAGAGAAAAGAATCGTTATCAATTTCTAAAATTGAAGAGTATTTAAGACTTTTTTTTATTATCTAATAATTAAACGAACGGATCTGAGAAGTTTCTAATTAGATTTTAAATATAATTTTTAAAAACTCCATCGAGGGAAGAAAGTGAGAAAATTTCTAATTGATTGATAGAAAATTGATTGAATTTACTAAAAAGGAACTCTCTTCCAAGTAAATTAGAAATCGTTGAAGTAAAAGAAAAATTCATGTCTACGGATCTGAGTTCTAGAAAATGATTTCTAAGAACCATAAGAAATGTTGAAGGATTCGCCAGGTACGAAGTATCTTGAGTATACGTAGTCGAGAAAACCTTTGAAATTATATTGATCGGATGAGGTAGCATTCAGCTGAAATGTATTCAGTATAAAATAACTGTACACGTCAACAGGAATAAAATAAATATTCTCTTTTGCAATGAAGGTAATTTGTTTTGAATATGAATTTCAGCTACAGACAAGCTTCAATGATTAAATACGCATGTAGAAATGTTATAAACAATGAT